CAATCCAGGGTCCTGATTCTAACTGAATTTAGACTCATAAAATTGAATTAGATTTAGAATACCATGACAATTTCGCAACGGAAATTAGGTAGAATTCGGTGTCGAAATTATGGTGGAGAATTTTGTATGTCGGCAAGGCCAAATCAAAATTGTCAGGGTTGACATTCAATAAGAATCGGGTACAAGGATTTGAAATGGAGACCTAAAAATGTTAGGATGTTCAAAGCAGGGCGTACTCTGCTTAAAAAAAATCGAAATGTTTAATAGTGACACATGTTGTTTGCATCCTTGTTTCAATTATAATAATAATAATTATCCACTCTAATTATAATCTGTGAAGGAATCCATAATCTACAACAAGAGAATATCCGTTGTTTTACTATACATATAATAATAACAATACATAGTCATTGTCAATATAGCAAAATTCAGATGGGGGCAGGTAAGGCTTATAAGGCTCAGTCAACCGGTTTAAAACAGAGTTGCTAGCTGAGCTGAAGGTACCGCTTGTCCGCGCACATTTCTCAAAAAGGCAGTGTGTAAAACGGATGAACGCGGACAGATGGCCCAGGAAGGTTATAGAATGGATTCCACCAGAAAAAAGAAAGAGGGGTCGGCCAAGAAGGAACTGGCGAGATGACATTGATCAAGCGATGACCACGAGGAACTTAGAGGACGACGAGGTTTTCGATAGGAAAAGATGGAAATTGGGGACGGAGAGACGGCAGCAGCTGTAAAAAAAATCCGTTATATATATTTCACTATGGAAATGTCACAATATTTTAAATGAAAATGACACGACATCATCTAATGCATCAGCAGACACTCCCCAACCCGAAGTATCTTGGGTTGAAACAGGTAAAAAAGGTAACGGATGCTAGCTTCCACCCTACCGCCATATATCTTCATTATTAACATTAATAATAACATTTGATTATGTTTGTGTTTTTTGTTATTAAAGTATATCATTTCAAGTGTTACAATATATTGTTTTTCTTATTAGGCGCTGGTAGAGAAAATGTTATTCGTAACTTTTGCGGAAAAGTATCACTTTCCCCACTTGTTAAGAAAATAACTGTATATGCAGGGCTGTTTTAAGGATTAAAAACACGCCTCTCGTTGTCCAAGAAACTGGTACTCTATTAAAAATAGTTTATTCCTCAAGCGGCACCCAGGAGCGGCTTGCCACCCCTAATGGGGGCCCACGTACATGGTCTGTGAGACTAACAAAAAATTGAGTAAATCGATACAATATAAATATAATTCAGTAATATTGCATTCTAGATTAGTAATGTGGAAAAGGTAGAAGGGTTAATATTTAATTATCAGATTTTTTTTATAAAATATATTAAGTTTGTGTCCGTATTCAATAACCGCATGTGGAATTTTTCTTTAGTATCAACATATTCTATTTTTCCTTATATTTTTTCGACATAAGTATTATGATATAATTTGAGATCTAAATGCTATAAATTTAAGCCCCTGACTCCAAATTAATTTGCTTCTCCCCTAACAAATAATTCTTAACGGAATCGTTTCAATTATTATTATTACTGTTTATACAAGGGTTGTCTCAAAAATAAGGTTCCCACATTTTTTTCAGACACAAGAAATTTTTTATCTGGAAAAAAGAATTTGCCATTGGAAACGTTGATCTTTAAGCCATTTTTCTACACATTTTTTTTTTTAGACGTAGAATCCACATTTTTCCTTCAATTTCGATGTGAGACATCAGCTTTTTCAGAAGCCTCAGGAATTTCAACCGCCTGTTCCCGGATCTTGATTCGCCGATCTTCAAGCAAGATTTGCTCAATCTTCGCCATAACTTCCTCGGAGATCGACGGCCTCCCGCTTCGTTGTTCATGCGGCCGTCAAAGAACTCTCTTCACCATTTGAGGACATGTTGAATGCCTACACACGTTTCCGGAATATTTCACTCAATTGGCGATTAATTTCTATGGGTGGTAACGGATGACCGCACGAATTTCGAACCTGGCCAATAGAGGCGCTTTTTGTTGGAATCGGTGGTGGGGGAGCCGCCAAACATGACGGGTGTTGCCAGATTTAGCCTAGCATCACGCGTTGGGACCAATTTTTTTAAACCCTCGTATTTTTATCCATGGTGTCATATTAATAGTTTTTATAAACGGTGTGTTGGAAAAAGCGGTATATGGAATTCGCGTACATTAAAGTTCATCAAGTCTTTTGTATTTCCCGTCAAAGCAATCGGCCAATTTGACTTGATTTTTACCGCGAGTGCTGAACACCATATAGAATCAAATCCAAGCGAATAACCAAAATTTCTGTGTTATGTGCCGCGGTTATAATATGGTTCAAGATGACACACGGGTTGATGACGTCAGTTACACGAATCGCTTGAACGCGTTGATTTTAACCGCGGTTTTGTTGCAAGTTGTTTATTTTAGAAAAGCGCGTATATAATCTCTGTTTAAATAAGAAACCTTTCATAATATGCATGGGAGAAATGTTTTTTCAGATTTTTTTTTAATGATGGAACCATGGCTTTGTAGCTATGATAACTTTCAATTCTCTAAATTTTTCCGCATGTCAAAGAAAAAATTTATTGATTCAGCAGAAATGATGAAAAAAGAAATTAGCAAAACCGTATACAGGTGGATATCATCTAGTGAGTTTATATGGCCATATTTTAATATTCTTGTGGTATATGGCTACAAGGATACTTTGTTAAGCATAGGAACTACATTTAAAGTGTCCCCAACAACCGTAATGAGTATAACTAATAAGATGCTCCACTTTATGATAAAACTGAAGTCAGCCTGTATCATTTTTCTCAAAAATGAAGCTGAAGTACAAAATTCTAACTTGTCACATTTCAAATAATAACCAGAAATATAAAACTACTCTTGAGTTGGGTAAATACCACAATTTTGCGGTGATACTATGACATATAACAGCTGATTCGTGACGTCACGGATCTTACAACCAAACTGATAACTACACTCGCTTGAACGGATTGGTAAATACCAACCCAAAATGGTAAATACCATTTCCATTTGGTTATCCGCTTGAATTTGATTTAGGTATTTCATGTTAAATTGTCAATGTCAGATAATAAAGGTTATTTTCTCACATCTGGCGGAACTCAGTCAGAAATAGCAAAGTATAGTATAATACCAAGTAAAACTACTTTTCAGATAATAATTGTCTATCTTTGTTGACAAAGGAAACATTCCAAATGATTAACTGAATGACAGGAATACGAAGTTCACAATTCAACCAGTTAATGAGCGCTGCTTAATAATCATTATATCGCAAATTAAACATGGAATCGCATGGAAGTAAAAAATGGCTGTAAAAACTTTGTATTTTATGATTAGTCGTTATCAGCTTGTATATGATAAGTGGGAAGTACACAGGACAAACTCCAAGTTCTGCAAAATACGTGCTGTGTAAATGTATTTAAAAAGAACGTCAGAGTGATTTTCGGACGAATTGAGCCAGGCGGTTTACTGCTCACTTCAAAGCAAGTGTAGTGAAATAATGATGCAACGTAATATGGAAAAAAATTAGGTAAGTTGAAATTAGTTGACATATCTTCGAAATATAACAATATAAGCAATACAGGGTGTTAGGGAAATAATATTCGTAACTTTAAGAGGTGATTCCTTGCTTTATTCTAAGCAAGTCCATTATAACCTATCTCCAAAAATCCGTTTCGGAGCAAAAAATGCTAAACTTATTTCTTTTTAGTCATGAAATAAATAAATTTTGCAAATTTATAATTTAAATTCATATGTCTAATAGCGTAAAATATGTCAATACATCTATTTATTAATTAACTGTCTCTAACAAAATAATTTTCTTGCTTATTAAATACAATTTTCCGAAGAAAAACCAACAAAATCCCTCACACCACTGGCAACGTCGTACTCCGCCTGCACTGCATGTATCATCGCGTGTGATTACTAATACATTTAACTATAACTTTATGTGACTGATAATCGTGGGAATTGGTGGTGTGTATCGCCACGTACCGGTAAGTTATGTCATTTTTTTAAAGTAAATGTACTGTACTGAAAGCGTTATTAAATAAAAATATTAGCCACAAAAAATTGCGTAAAAGTATTCAATAATTCAAGGCATATTTTCAACAAAAATATCATACAAACGCAAACAATTCGATGAATCAGTTGCGGTCATCGTGCGCCCGTATCGCGATTGCGTTGCAGCGTTGCCAAATGTCTGAGAAAATTTAATTATTTACGACTCACTTTCCTCGAAAACGAGTGCTTTTCGGACATAAGTTATAATGAACTTTTTTGCTTAGAATAATGCAAGGAATTCACCTCTTAAAGTTACGAATATTATTTCCCTAACACCCTGTATATTTCACTAAATTATAATTAATATATGTGCTTCTAGGTATTTTCGATTGACGATTTCCAGGTAAGATATCAAGTAGATGTTCTTACACCATTTCTAAGTTTATACAGTTTCATAAAATCCATGGCGTTTGAAATCATATTAGAAATCAAAGTGCTGCAGCGAATATATTCGCAATGATGTCGCTTATAGCAAATCTGATGTATAGAGAATTGTTAGGTTCATTAATTTTCCTAAAAATAAAAATATTTAACGGTTTTGTAGTTTTATTTCGGAATCAAGCTACTCATGGAATGTTACCATAATATACAACTCAAAAATTATAGAAAGTGCAAATAGCAGCACTGCGGCGAAAATCGATGTATGCTTCATCCCCGTCAAAGCACACACCGATTTATATTCCATACACATATTTAGAGAAAGATGCAATATTATTGATTTGGCTTGGATTTTGGAACCATTATTTTTTTGTGAATATGAATATGAAAATTAACAACATTTTTGTAATTTATTTTCCCTGAAGTACAGTCAACATAGATAACACAATTTTTTTAACGCTGTACAGGTAACTTTCTTCGTTTTTTTATGTTAGTGCATTTGAATCATTAAACATTTTTCAAAATACGTTCTGATTAATGAGTTCTGTGAAGCTTTCGCGGCCATTGCCCAAGCGACTCATTCTTCTTGGGTTATCCGGCATCGGTAATTTTTTATTCTTGACGTTTCGCCATCACCAATCGATGACATTTTCAGAAGCCGGTCGAAGTCAACTCTTTGGTGTCTTTCGAGAAAATGATCAACTAGCGTCTAGTGGTCTGTAGTTCGCGAACTAACTAGTTCAATCGAACGAATCTTTTGATTGAACTAAGTGAACTAGGTCATCATTCCTTGAAAAATTCGTTCGCTACGAATGACTGGTATTACAGGCTCCCGATGACGCAATCGAACTAGTTGTAAGTGAACGAATGAGAAAGAGATAGGAGACCGCAGGGTTATTACGTAAAAAAAACTATACAACTAGCCTTATGGACCAAGTAGGCTAGTGTGCAAATGGTTCATTACGGGCTTGCTATAAGTGAGCATGAAGTGAACGACAGCTAGTTGCAAGTTGACGTCGTGTAGGAAAACCTACATAATGTCATAAAAATCCTACTTAATGTCAAAACAATGCTAAAAAACGACATAAAGCCACTTTTCAAGTTACGTAACGCCGCTGTCGTAAGGACAAAATTGTATAACTGGTTGCATAGAAGTAATGAAAAAAGATGGAAAAACTTTTATAAAAAAAAAAGTTCAACCATTGCGGCTCATGAAAAAATTGGAGCAATCCTAAAATGAAAATTTAGAATCATTACATTTCTATCAAAAAAAAAAGAGAAAGCAGAACTTAACGCTAAAAAAGAGGATCATTCTTCCGAAAGAAAATCGGGCAATCCTGATCAGAGGTATGTATCATTTATTAAAAATCTTGGGATTTGGTGAATCCAAAAAAACAAAAATGTACCCCACATTATTTGAGATTGTTAGAAAACGTGTAAATCTCATAGCTGCTATGTAAGCGACAATTTACGTTAAGAATTTAAATGTGAAACGTCCATCTTAAATAAAGACATGTTAAACAAAAAACAATACAAGGTGTTTCGAAGCGTTTACCTATCCAAATACTAACCGCGTCCAACACTGCTAAACTCTGCAATCAGAAGAAAGATTGAGAGGCGCTGCTTTGACTGATATTATTCTTGTACAAAATAGTTCGTTATAGTGCGCGCGACCTATTGAACTAATTCACTAAAATGGCACTAGAAAGCACATTACTACTGGAGTCTGCGATCAGAATTAATAACTACCTGCGCCCGATCGAGGGCCGTGCTACCCTCCTACCTGTTACGGTTATTTGTTCACTTTGTGGAAAGAAGAAACACACAAAGTGAATAAAACATGGATACCTGACAAACATGAAAGCACTACCCTATGGCAGGGATGAAAACAATCGGTAGGAGGGTAGGAGGGACAACCGGCAGGTATAAATGTCAACCGCAGAGAATTAGCTTCGATCTGGTTCGGAGGTGCCATCCACTGGTGATGACGAAACGTCAAGAATTAACAACAATCATCGTCACCAAGAACCCAAAAAGCATGAATCGTTCATACGTTCTGATTATTCTTGAGGTCATTAAACATTATGTTATTATGACTTTGGATGTTTACGATTCCTTGCTGGCTTGGATAAGATGCTGCCTAACGGGGAGGAAGCCGTTAGGAAAAGTAGAAAAAAAATTTCATCTGAGATAACTGTGCCATCAGGTGTCCCTCGGGGGATTCATTTATCTCCTGTTTAATGTCTGATTGTGAGAAATTGTGATATCCTTCTGTACCAATAAGGCTATGAAACTCTACTGGCTTTTGTTATTCGAACATTGATGGATTTTAAAGACATTTTTTTTTAAAAGACACCTACTGTGCAATAAAAAGATCCATTTTAGGGCATACCTTCAAAACAGATTGATTATGACGACTTGAACAATTTATTAAGTATGACTTCTTTGGATCGAATAATTTATATTGATAATTGCAGTTTGTTGCCATTGACTGATATGTTCCCCAGACCTTTTATCTCTTATTCTGTTAATTATTACAAAACTAACTATGCCATGTCAAAAATGTGTAGCCAGGCAAATGATTAACTACCCTTATTGAATATTTTTAATTCAAGTTTTAAGAATTTTGATACTGCATAGTTTTAAGTGAATATATGTATATATTTTTGTGAAATGGTTCATCGGTAAATATAATATTCATTTTCTGGATCATTCAAATAGATAGCAACCTATTCAAAATTGATCATTGAACATGATCATTATCTCCTCGTTGGATACAGCGAAGTTAATTGCTTTTTACGAGAAGTGACAAGTATTCGTTTATTTCAGCTAGTTCTATACTGAATGACGGCTGCGTTTTTTCGTATTTCCAGATTACCGTGTCAAATTCAATGCTACGGATTTATCAAAACACGTTTTTTTTCGTCTATAATTGGTCTGAAAAGTTGATCTATCGAGTACTTCCTACTTTCATTGTAAATAGATAATTAACAAATATTTTTATTATCGTTATTAAATGTGAACAACTAAGCAGGACAAAACCAGCATACAACATCTATTAGTTGAATGAAAACCAGCTTTCGCCAGTTGTCATTATTAAAAAATTAGAATGCATTTCATATGATCTATTTTTGAAAGCATGTATCATCACAATGTCGATACCCGAGAAGATCGTACTAGAGAGGACTATTAAAACATAATTCCATTGTTGATATTATTTATTACCTACAGCCCATTTACAAGATAATTGCTTAGAGGTAGATATTACAAGGATTATTACAAAAAAAAAAAAACATATACAATTCACGAAAATACAAAGCTCATACAATCAAAAGCATGCATTAGTCGTGCCCATATAGCGATAAAAATTTGAATCAAATTCGAGAGAGGAAAACGGGTGCATCAGTTTTTTTATACAGAATGCTAATGATAGTCCGTAATAGGTAATATGCATGTTCTTTTTTGTTGTATTTTCTGTCGATTATTTACGTTAATGTAGTACCGTAAACACATATTTCGTTCATGGAGATATCTGTTTCTTTTTAAAATAGACATTTAAAAATGCAATGCTAATCACGATGATTTAGACGCCGCATTTTCGCGCGGTTCGCAGTGACTCCTGATTTGTCATTTTATTCTTTGATTGGTTAATTAGCTGTCATTTAAGAGGTTCTATTTTTATTTTGTTGTTTTTCCGAAGTAGTCCTGACGGCAAAATTCTCCTGCTGATGGCAGCACCCCCGCTGTCAAACAGTGTTGACATCTAAGTTGAAAAAGGGGCGTAACTTAATGACTTAGTTCAGAGGCGGATTCCCCGTCAGCCAGTACTCTTTGGAACTGATCCGACCGATAGCGACAAAAGATTTGCTGCTCACTGGCCTAGATTAGGTAGCTGTGCCAGGATTTTAAGCGTCCTGTAATAGCGGCAGGCACTAACTTTATTAATTCCAAGTCTTAATTTTGTTCTTCTGCACCTGCTCAGATGTCAAATACGGTCAGGAATTATTAGCGCCTGGCTATATAGGACCTTCAATAACTCCCTATTGTGACGTCACGCTAATAACTTAGCGTTTGAATATTTAAAATTTGTCTATTTTTTTTTGTATTCATCAATACGCGTAATTTTATAGCGAATAAGTATAAAAAAGGTTAAATGTGGCTTTCTGTAGCATCATAGACTACAAATGAAAATAAATAACCGATATTTGAATCATATGCATATTTCCTATTGCAAAGCTGTATTGCCGAAACGAATTCAAGTAGAAAAGTTCATTTAAACATGTGTCCAAAAAAATGTCAAAGATTAGAAAAAATATTTTGACAGAGGAAAATAAATAGCAAACTGTCACGGAAAATCTAAAATATGTGCATAATTCCAGAACAACATTTCTTGCCAACGATCAAAGTTGATTTGATCTTATTTATACATTTTGACATGTAATGAAGTTGTTTTTATTTTTACATGGCAAACAAAGTAAGATATGAATGGGGACTAATTAGAGACAAAACAGTTGTAGCTGCTTAATCCGAGAAAAATATGTATTTAAAAAAAATCGCGGGTGTACATTTTTTGTCAAAATCATTCGTGAGACTGCCCCCAAGACGTCACTGAAATCCATAATTATCTTTTAGCTAGTGCGAAGTTTACGTCTTATTGCAGTGAACAGTACTGCCAAAATTCAACATAATCGACACGAGGATCTTTGAGGTATCTATAAAAGTCCATTTTGTTGAAATATTTTGAAAACCGGATACATATTCATATCAACTTTTCTATTTAAATTATGTTTAGGAAGGCACCCTTGTAATTACGGCCTATCATTAAGTAAAACCCTATATAACTAGTCAGAATTTAGAATATGATGAGAATTTGCTACCTTTTGTCAAAAGAATAAGACAAAAATACGCACGATGTTATGAATAAATAGCAAATATGCAGCTATGTGTTTATGAAAAATGACACGTATTAATAATAAAAAAATGACGGTCTATACTAGCGGAAAAAGTGAGTCTAATCCCAGTGCCCCGAATCAAATCCGCGAAACCCGACGTTTTCATAAAGTCTATCGATAATGAAAAAAATATTCCATCCATATTGCTACAAGTTCACATCCCATAAAGCAGTTCACCAAAATGAGGAAGTTTCCTATTCTTTGAAATACTTTACTACGCAAAGAGAAGTACAGCACCGAATTTTTATTAATCTCTTAAAAAATGACAAATTTATGCTACCCAGAAGTTTCTTATTTGGAGAATGATCTTGCTGGGGCGTGTGACTGAGTGATGACGTCACATTACACCAGCTACCATCGCCACCACAAGGCGATGCGACCGCCGCGCATTTCTCGCGCTATTTATAAACGTTGGTCTATTCTGTATTTACGATAAAAAAGGGTCAAACTTTTGACTAAATACTGTTTGTACCTAGGTTGTATAAATAAATATCCGTTAAAGGAAAACTTTTTGCCTTGTGCCAAAACGTAGAAGAATTTGAATTCCCTCTTACGGAAATATCATCATTGTACTGCTGTGAATCTCATTTTGATGTAAGTATTTAGGTTTTTAGTTAATATGGTATGAATGATAATAATTATTATTAGTGTGTTATCGTTGATAAGTGGATATTGTTGATGTTTTACTATGCACATATCCATTCTACTCGGGCTTAAGGGATAGAAGCAAGTTACAAAGTCTTTTCATAAAACAAAAAGAGATTAGAACTATTACAAAGGCGGAGAGGCGCTTTAGTTGCAGGCAATTATTCACAACTTTGAAGATATTACACGTAGAGTACGTATCAAATATATTGGTTTACGTCACAACACACATGGACAATTTTAGTTCTATAAATTCTGGAATTTACAGTACAAGGAACAGAGAAGTGTTGGAGGTGCCGTCACACAGGTTGTCGAGAATGGAGGAGAGTCCCAAATATATGGCAAACTCCTCAACAGACTCTCCATTGATCTAAATTCAATACTGCTGACACTATTTAAAAAAAATCAGGCAAATTTTTAATGTATCTTTTTAATTGTTTTAATGTATCGTTTGATTTCAAATTATCACTTTATTGTCATTTTAATTTATTTTCATATTCATACACCTCGTGTTTGTTATTTGACATTGGAATATTATTTATGTATGAAAGCAATTCTTTTCATACAAATATTCCAATGTGACTTATCCTATACCACCTTGTGATCCACAGGATGAATAAATTATTATTATATGCATATTATGATGGAGAACCTAACTGGTGTAAACGAAAACGAGAATAAATTTCATTATCGCTTTTGTTTCGAGATAATGTGAATATTGGTATAGTGATCAGGCTGTCGCTGGAGGGGAATACTCCTTGAACCCCGTCTGTGTTGACGTGGAGATGGATAGACGTAGTTCAGGAACAAACAAATCTGGTCGAAAGTGCAAAAAATTTGTACAATCGCGATCACGACATGAGAGCTTAAAATATATGTACAGGGTGCGGCAGAGAGGACGGACGTTTTTGGGATGGGTAGAACTCTGCGCCTGCGTCTACGAGAGAGGTGGCGAGAGTGCCGTTTGACTCGTGAGATCCTAGCATTATTTTACCAGTTGTCGGTATGGAGCCTGGGACGGTGGAGCACCGCGTTTTCGCCTATGAGTGACGAAGCCGACTTTCACCTAAACCACATGATTAACCAGCAGAATTGTTATTGGGCTAATAAAAATCCGCAACAGTTACACGAAAGACCGCTGCCCAAAAGTATCGGTTTGGTGCGCTGTATCGCAAACTTGGATCATTGGCCCTTACTTGTTCCAAGACAGTAATAGTCGTAAAGTTACCGTGAACTCAGAGCGCTACGTCGACATGATCACCAACTTCTTTCTCCCTGAATTACGACGGCGACGTGTTCCAATCCGACGTGTGTGGTTCCAGCAGGTTGGGGCGACCGCCCACACAGCCCGAGCATCCATGGACGTTATTCGCCCTCTCTTCCCTGGTCGCCTTATTTCCAGGTTTGGCGATGTTCATTGGCCTCCTCGGTCCCCAGATTTATCCATATGCGATTTTTTCTTATGGGGACACCTCAAGGCTAGAGTATACGCGAACAAGCCCCGAACTCGGGACGAATTGAAGGGCGAAATTCGCGTGGAAGTCGCCCAAGTTGAGAGCGATGTTGGAGAGAGTCTACGCGAACTTCCAAGAACGCATCCAGCACTGCATCAACGATTTCGGCCACCACATGCCTGATGTGATTTTCCACACTTGACTGTCTCAAATGCTATTTCCTTGCGAACCTGATTCCATCAATAAATTTGTTTTCGAGTAAAAATTAACTATTTTATGATATTTTTAAAATCGTCCATCCTCTCTGCCGCACCCTGTACTTTAAAGTTTATAGATACTACCCTGAAAGCTCACTCACTACTATCTTTTGGGAACTGTATTTCGGGGACGTTTGATTTCTCGATTTGGTGATATCAACTGGCCACCAAGGTCACCGGATTTAACGGCTCCTGACTTTTTTTATGAGGATTTTTGAAAAATAGGGTTTATGCGAACAAACCAAATACTGTAGAGCAGCTGAAGAACAATATTACGGAATCGAAAATATTCCTCCCGAAGCCTACCAAAAAATGATGGAAAATGTAAACAAGATGCGGACATTTGTCTGATATTATTTTTATAATTTCCAAGTTTCAATAAAAGATTAAGAAGAAAAAAATGAGCGTATTTTATTTAATTTCAAAAATATTCAAGATACAAACCAGTCAGTTACATATCGGCCACCATGTATAAATACAATGTGCACTTCTTTTAATAAATTTTGCACGGGCTGTGATATTAATTGTGATGCTCTTGATGTAATTCTGGCCAATCTTAACGTAATTATGCTGTGGTGGGACGTTGAGATGTGCATTGCAATGAGATTTTATTATATTTTGTCTATTTTTTTGTATTCACTTTATTTATACTTATTTACTTTTATACCACATACATATATGTCTGATCTCATTGTCACATCAATTCTAATTGTATTGTTCCTGTGATTGGGTATATCCCGTTAGAATGAAGATTATTATTATTATTATCATCACGTGTGACCTTAATTATAAATATTAATGCGTACCAAAGCACCTTTGGAAGATCAGTGTAATCGCAAAAAACTCCCCATTTCAATTATTGTATGTCTATAAAATTGCACAGCAGTCGATGCCACGACACAAAGAACTGGTCATCTTGAGCGGTAAGGACGAATGCGATATGCAAAGGTCGACGCCGTGACCTCAATGTCGAACTTATGTAATGTGACGTCACGACCGAACCTCGACTCTTGAGGGCGGTCGGCCACAGCACCCAACGCAGAAAATGTCATAACTTCCTTGAACTTCAAGTTATGGGAATGATTGCTTCACATATCTCAAAGTTACCAGTTATAATATGCAAGTGAAACTAGCACCATTTTCGACTATAGGAAACTTCCTAATTGTGTTCAACACCCATACCAAGAAATGCCTTTGGTGAAAAGATTCCAAAAACATAAACATACAGAATTATTGCATAATTTTTATGAAGTTATAAAAATAAAAACTGCACATAAACATACCCACCCATATACCCAAATTGCACTATTGTAGTATAAATCAATAATATCTCTACTCATTTTATGTGTTAGTTGAACTCATTTGGCCTGGCTCCTGCAACAAGTTATTGTATTGTAAGCTAGACACAAACACTACTACTACGTTAGATTAGAAAGTAAGATAAATCTGCAGCCATAAACACTGTATCAAGCGTCGATTGTCTAATAAACTACACATTAGTAGCATTTGATAAGGCTTCTACTAACCTCAGCACTATAAATTGGTTTAACCAACAGAGTCCTTAAAAAACCTACTATGCTTTCACAACCTTGCTATTATGCTCAGTAAGTCCGGTGAGATCCTTTTCGACTGCCTCAATCCTTGGTTGGGATTTTTACTATTCCACGAATGTCTTCCATCCATTTTTCCACAGACCGTGGACCTCTTAGGCTCTTAAGGCAAGCTTTCAACATAAAATGAGCATACTGCTTTCAAAACTTTGCCTCGGATAAATCAACGGAAGGGAAAAGGTGGTTAATACAGATAAAGATAATACCAATGGTCGCAAGTGCAAAAAACACCTAGAGAGCTAGGATGATCTGGGTGCTGTTCATCTGTTACATCCTGCTTCCAACAGTAGCTCCTTTGTGCAGAGGTATGTTGGCATGTATGCGACCGAATTACGCTTAGCTTAATAGAAAACGACAATCACAGAACAAAACAAACATCAAACAACAATACTTTACCTTTGGCTTAGCCCTATGGGTGTCCACAGCATCTATACCTAACGGGATGTGTTCCACGCGACAACCGTACGCCACAGGCGTCAGTTTGATGATTGAATGCAGTGGTACCTTCAAATACGGCAATTCATCTGAAATAGAGAATAGGAAATATCATGATAACAAATTAAGACAACCAATAAAGGGATGATTGTCGCTTGGTGCTCATTAAACCATGAAACTTATGCGGCCGATCAATGTCTTGCCAGATGTCGAGAAGCTGTTCGAATGAATAATATATTGAAGAAAACAAAATTTTGACAAAAAACAAGCTGGATTTAGAAAAAAATATTCTACAGAAACGGTAATCCAATTGGTGGTGGAAGACTGGAGAAGAAGTACAGATGAGAAAGGAAGCATGGCAATAGTATTTTTAGACTTCAAAAGGGCATTTGAGTCTATAGATTATTAATAAAATTGCATCACTATGGATTTAAAGGATCAGCATTAAACATTTTACAAAATTATTTAGTAAATAGAAGTCATAATCTAAAGTTGGAAATATTATGTCTGAAAATGGATTAAAAAAAATGTGTAAACGAATAATTATACAAAATTGACATTGTAGCATTAACTCTAAATAAACCTTCATCAAATAAACAAACAAACGATGCAGAGGCAACTGTAATGTTAGTAAAGTGTTCTACGTATACAGGGTGTTTCAGTTTATTGATGCATAACTTTAAGATTCGATAGAACTTTTAAAATTAATGCAGAAAGTCTATATAAACATGGGTCGAAAAATGCGTGGCTTCTGAAATGCGTTTAAATTTACTTTCTAAAATAGTTTTTTTTTGAATATTTCGAACAATATTTGATGTATAACAGTGAAAATTGGTATACAAGGGTTTTTTGGTACGACAAAACGAACCATGGACATAGTTTTACTGTAGCCGCTAGAGGGCGCTCTCTACTGTACCTGTAGTGTATTAAAATGACCGAAAATTTTTTCTTAGTGCAATTTTTTGCTTTTTGAATAAAAACACTGATTCTTCGCACTTTTCTGCATAAAAAAGCTCTCCTGTGAGTTTTCGTTATAGTTCGCCGTTTTTGAGATATTTCGATTTTTAAGGTTCGATGCATATTTTATTATTTATGGGAAAATAATATTTTTTTTACATTTTCGATTTGGGCATTACAAGTAATTAAGATGATCGTTTAGATTGTGTTTTTAAACACAGCAATAATTCCTATCTCCAAATAAACACAAAAAAACAGAATATTAATTTGTTTAATTTTCCAATATTATTTTTAACAAATTAAATGAATATTGGATGCTATTGGATAGTTAGGACAAACATACAAAATCTAAAGTAGTTGCTCGAAATGGAAACCCAATTGTTCAATACACAATTCACATCTACATTTACCACTCCACGTCTAGTGAAGCATAACTCATCGGTGCATAAAACGTTACTTAAAAACTCGCTATTATTATCAGTTCTATCAAGAATCCACTGACAAAATGTGATTCTTCGTTCTCCGTCCCTGGCTGTAGTCCTTGCACAGGTTGCAAATGGTAAGGACGTCTATGGTCATTTCTAAGAATACGTTGAACATGGCTTGCTGAAATTCCTAAGGCACCAGAAACTCTCCTAACACTTGTGGTCGGATCTCTGTCAAACTCACGCAGAATCATACGGGTAAATCTGCGCTGACGAACATTTATGTTTTGATCCCTCTGGAGATTTCCAAAACCATTTTCAATTATTTGGCGATGCACTCTTACAAATACTGAGCGAGTTGGATGTCGTCTGTTTGGAAATATTCGTGCGTATTCTCTGGCTGCTTCTGCTGCGTTTCCATTTACAAAGCCATACACAAAATGGATATCCGCTAACTCTTGATTGGAGAATAAAAATGGAATTTTTATAAAACTTACAAAAAAAAACAGGTAAAAGAAACTAAATTTCGTGCATTCACAATTGCAAAAAAACGTTTCAGGTTTCAACAGACAACAAAACTAACTGTCAACTAATTGACGTTTAACCTTGTTCTGCTTTCAATTCCAAAAATATTTGCAGGCACAGCCTACTTCTAAAAATTATCGAGATACTGACTGTTTAACGTTATTTTATCATAAATAATTAAAAATGCATCGAACCTTAAAAATCGAAATATCTCAAAAAACGGCTAACTATAACGAAAATTCACAAGAGAGCTTTTTTATGTTGAAAAATGCGAAGAATCAGTTTTTTTATAAAAATGTTTGGTCATTTTAATAGACTACAGGTACAGTAGAGAGCGCCCTCTAGCGGCTACAGTAAAACTATGCCCATGCTTCGTTTTGTCGTACCAAAAAAACCCTTGTATACCAATTTTCACTGTTATACATCAAATATTGTTTGAAATATTTAAAAAAAAATATTTTAGAAAGTAAATTTAAACACCCTGTATTTCGGAAGCCACGCATTTTTCGATCAATGTTCATATAGACTTTATGCATTAATTTTAAAAGTTCTATCGAATCTTAAAGTTATGCAACAATAAACTGAAACACCCTGCATAAATACAAGGTTTTTTCGCTCGACAAAATGAAGGTAAGGTAGCAACTTGCAGAAGCATCATTAACGTTAGAAAATTTATTATTTTGTTATCTTAGAAGAGGATTGAGTCATGAAAAATCACAACGTGAATAGGAGTCAAAAATAACTTGTTTATATTATATTGAAACTACAACATCAAAATCATGTGATTTTAGTTTGAGTAATCAATTATCAGTGTAATTGTTTATAACACACTGATAAAACAGTATTTACTGCATTTTGAAATTAAAACAGGATACGATCAGCGATCGCTTCAATTTGCAACTGAATCACTATCATTTGCATGCATCGTGTTTTGCATGTTTGGTACCTATCACTTCCTAAACAAGCTGTATGACAAGCTTTGTATGATATAGTGATCCTGCAATCCTAATGTCAAACAATATACAATGCAATAATTTGCAATAAACGTTCTACCTATGAATACAAGAAAAAATAATATAAAACCTAGACTTTATCCCTGACTAGAACAATAGAAGGGCCCCTTTTGTAAGGTGTTTGTTCCACAATCCTGAAATGTTAGAAATATGAAAATGGGAGTCCAACATGATAAAGATACCAACTTTTAAATATTTTTATCAGCTTACCTGCTGATTTGTCTAGAAAATATGCCAACAAACATCTAAGAACAGCCTGATGCGACACTACCAAAACATTCCCTTGCCTCTCCAACTCCATAATCACAGGTTCCAAACGAGCTACCAGATCCTCGTAACTTTCACCTCTCGGATATCTGTACGCGAATTTGTTCATATCACGAGCCACAAATTCGTCGCAGTGTTTCTCCTTGATCTCCTCGTAAGTCATTTCTTCACAGACGCCCTTAAAAGAAACAAAAAACACGTCATTTCAATTTTTCATTCGAAGCCTACGTCGTACTGACAAGTCTCACTAGGATTGAACTCCAACATACGACACCGACTTTCGTTCAGACTAAAAGGAAACAAGCGAGAAATTTACTTCACTACATAGATGACATTCAATGACTGATCTTCAGTCGTTCATGATGTTTGAGTGAAACATGCTAAAAAACTAGTGTAGTATGGAAAGATCATACTGAATAATACAGGGTGTAAACGTTATGATAATCATTATTTAAATGGGTGATAGAGGGGGTTAAAAGTTTCATATAACATGGGTGTCAAAACGGCATTTTTTTAGAGAAAAGCGACTTTAAAGTAAAATAAAATCTGACAACGCCGCAATGCCAGACGCAAATTACGACGAGTTTGTTATGTTTGGCTCTTAGGTATTATTTCATTATAAATGCAAACAATTAAAGAAAACGGACTTACCACTAAATGTCTCAGCGCTACACCTGGTGTGTGAAAGTTTATTGAACGTATTAAAAAAAGCCACTTATGAATAGGGAACACAATTTTGATACATACATTGCTTTTGTTTTGAAAACCCACACTGCACTTTTTTTGTATTTAAAGAAGGTGTTCAAAATGTTGTCCTCCACTTTCCACACAAGCTTCATTACGACGAACCCAGTTTCTTCTTACTCTAGGTCCTCGAAGTTGTCCATTTATTATTTCAGCCGCATTAATTTTTTTTTCGCTAAGTTGTGTTTCAGTTGTTATTGGACCAGCCCCATAAACCATACCTTCAAGTTTTCCCCAATACCAGACATCATCGGATTGAGGTCAGGAGATCTTGCTGGCCATTTTCGAGGATCAGGCGCATTTCGACCGATCCAGCAATTTGGACAATGTTCATTCAAATACTGAATTTAAAAATGTGTGGTGGTGCCACGTCATGAAGAAACCACAAATTCTATCTCCATTAAAATGGCATGTTGTCTAAGGTCTGTTCCAAAAGTTCTGGTAGGTTATTGGCTAGAAAGCTAAGGTATCCTTCTCCTGACAACTTTGGGGGTAACTCGAAAGGGCCAATTACCTGATCGTCAAGAATACCCGCCCAAATATTTATTTTAAAACGTTGTTGGAAATGACCTTCATGAATGGTATGAGGATTTTCTTGGGCCCACGTGTGAGTATTCGTCCGTCGCTAGAATGTTTTTAAAAAAATCCGGATTTTTAATGTTTTTGTGCAAAAACCACTGACAGAATGTTAGTCTGCGAGGATAGTCTTCTGGTAACAAGGCCTGCACTCGTTGTAAATGGTAGGGATAAAGCAATATATATGCGATAGTCCTACGCGGAGGCCTAATTCCCGAGTGCTGATATCTGCATTGATTTCCACGATATTTAAAATTTGTTCCTCCTGCTCTACAGTAACCTGTCTTTCACGAGTGCGAATATAGTGGGCTGAACACTTCCTGTATCTCGAAGTCTTTGGTACACTTGCACAAATGTCCTTCTGTCTGGGTGTACCCGTTGGCGAAATCTGTCGCGATCAATTTGAGCTGCAAGATTTGAATTCTGACGAGCTTCACCGTAAACTAACAACATGTCGGCGAACTCTTGATTCGAGAACATTGTAAATAAACACGACGACGTACGCGAACAATAACTAACTACTGTTACCGTTTGCGATCGATTGCCGGTTCGATAAGAGTGATAAATGACCAAAGCGCTGTTGTCATGTGTCTTTTAAATATTTAATTTAATGAAACTTACTTACTGACTACACATTTTGGCTTAACTCAGAAAAACTTAATGCCATTTATTTGTTAATTACCCAATTTAGAAACGTTTTAGATTAGATTATAAAAATTAGTAAGATTGTGGTCGATATAAAGCACTTAAAGTTGCAAACTATAAAGCCATTTAGACCAAAATCTATTGACTTTTGGACCATAGGTCATATGAACTTTTTGACTTGTTTTGACCCCCCTATTACCCATTTCAATAATGACTACCATAACGTTTACACCCCGTATAATTCACTTGAAATGCTGCGCTAGGAACAGAAATGAGCAAGGTACCTTGCAGTACCTATAAATATACATTTTTAGAGAGAATAAAGTTAGTCATCCTGAAATTAAGATGTGTTTCTAAGGGCAAAAAAGCCCGAAATAGATAAATCTATTACACAAGAGCAACTCTAAGAGATACTTACAGCATCGATTTCGTTCAAGGCCTTCCATCTTTCTTGAGGGACATGTAAGTCAGCAACGGTCTGTACGGTCCTCTTTAACCAGGAGGTCCACACTCGGAGCCCTTCGATTTTTTGTTCTTGGATGTAATTTGCTAAAGCTTTGGCGTATTGTTTTCCCCTGGGGCTCAAATTGGAATCGCCACCGATTCGGCCTTCTAGATTTTGTTCACTCTCGCCGTGCTATAATGAATATTTATGGACTCAGGGTCTGCCATAAAGGTATTTGCGCGTTTGGATGACGCCATTTCCTAGCCCGGTCATGGAGGTCAGAATGAATGAACAAAGTTTTTGGAAAAGAAAGAGGCGTGATCAAGGTTTTTTGAGAATTTCTCTTCAACGTATAGAAATTACCGATCTTTTCGTTTGTATGTTAGTAACAATCGAACTGAAATTTTGTACACAGGTTTGGCTTCCGTGACAGTATAAAATGAACTGCCGCCATTTTGAATCCAATATGACGGATGCTACAAAATGGCGATTCATCATTTCCATAGTAACCCCTATGATATGGGTATCAAATGAAAAGACTCGATGAGGGAAGCACAATAAGTAAACTGACGCCATTATAAATCCAATATGGCGGCCACCTCAAAATCGCGATTTATAATTTCCATAATCAGTCCTATACTATTTGTCTTGATGAGGGAAATATAATAAGCAAATGGACGTCATTCTAGATCCGCCGCAGCTGAATGGCGGTATATAATTTCCACGGTGACTGCTATGATATAGGTATCAAATGAATGGAATCAATGAGAGAAACACGATAAGGAAATGACATCATTCAAAATTCCATGAGGCGATCGAGGCAAAATATCGATTTATCGTTATATGATTCATATCTATGGAAAATTTATAACTCAAATCAAGTTTTATGGAGTCTCATTAATGAAACATAAAAGTTATTTAGAAATTACCAAACTGGTTGAGATGAAGGAGCCTCATTATTGTTTGAATATTCTCAATCGGAAAAATTTAATTATAAAATTTCAGTTCATTGAACAGCTAAAGGAAAGCTTGTTTTTAAAAAGTTTTTTTTTCATTTTGATATTTGTTCAACAGTTGTACTATACTAAAACCAAACGGGTATCATACACGCTGCATATTAGTATAGAACATGGTTGTTTCGCAACTACATGTCGCAGTTGATAAAATCATAGTATATGGCCAAATACCTTAATTCGTGAAATGTTTTATATTTACACGGAACTCTTAGTACACTGATGAACTACATTCTAATATGATAAAACATTAGCAAACTCACCCTTGTCAAATATATCGTCCTCGGGGTGATATGAATGTTCATAAGATAATAAACTATCCTGGCTTGCACGTGCCCTTCATGTTTATGGACTACCACTTTCTCTCCAGTATTATAAATCTTCATGAACGAGACCTCCTTCTCATTCTCCTCATTGAGCGGTTCGTACCTTTCTTGATAGTGTTGGATTCTTTGTAAAAAGTCAGTGAGAACCGAGTCTTTGTCTATGTTCACGTAATCGGGACTGCTAATCTTTACCTCCATTATGTTCTGTTCTATGATGGTGGGATCGTCACAAATCTATAACAAAAACTCCAAATTCTAAGGAAATGCATTTGTCAATGACGTAATAAATTCTATAGTGTGTCTACATATTTCAGGTATTCGAATTAAAATGACATAATGTCTAAAAAGTTAGCAATAGGAAATATGCATGTAATTCAAATATCGGTAATTTATTTTTATTTACAGTCGATGTTAATCACGAATATCAATTATTAAAAAATGAATAAAATACGCGGCAAATTTAAAATATCTAAACGCAACGCTATTGGCGTGACGTCACACGTGGGCGGCCAATGCTTTGTTGCACTCATTTATTGTCAACCTTGACCAGTTCCAAAGAGTACTACTGGTTAACGCGGAATCTGTAAATGTTACGGCCCTTTTTCAGATGTCAACATCGTTTGACAGCTGACATGCCACCAGTAGGAGAATTTATATATATTTATATATACGATCTCTCATATCCCACCAAATTTCTACATATAAAAGTATAGCAATCTCAGAGTTATATGTAAAGCTGGCAATGTTGCGGGATGTTAATGCACAATCTGGCAACCATGTCGCACCCTCAAAAAATGGCAGCTGACAACCACACAAGTCACCGTGTTGCCATTGAATAGCATGGAATTAAACCTTCTTCAGTGTACATGTTTTGTGAATAGAACCTTTCAAAACATGACAGCAAATTAACAACACATAAAGAATAAAATGACAAACCATGGGTTGTGAAGTCACTCTGACACGCGCGAAAACGAGATACTTTCAAAACTTGATAGCGAATCGCGACAGCAACATAGCCAAACGAATAAAATGATAAACCATGAGCTGTGACGTCACTGGGAAAAGCGCGAAATATACGGCGTTTAAATCAGCCTCATTGGCGATGCACTTTTATATTTAAATATTTGATTCAAATAAATTACAGACATTTCCATGGATGATATATGCGTTTAAAGTATTATGTTGAAAAGCATGCATATTCCCTATTATCAATTTGTATATTTGTAATTTGACTCAAGTCACCAGAAATTATTGATTTTAGGTAATGGTGACTGGGATATGTTTCCGGACAAAAGTTTGTACATGCACAATTAAGATGGTCCATTTTGAAGATTTCAGCTCGTGAAAGAAGACCATCAACCTCAAAAAATTCCTCGGAGTGCACCTACCGATTCAACGAAGAACAACTTGAACCCCATCTTATCAACCACTTCCTGCCTGATGAGCTCCCTGCGCTCCAAGGTGGAATTCGTGGCGTCGAACACCGCCACTTCGCCTCCGCCATCGCTCAACCACCTGCAGGCATCACGCAGCGCTTCGAGGGCGCATTGCCGGCGAATCGCCATAGCGGCCGCGTTGTCAGCCCGGAAGAACTCGTGGCTTCTGTAGGCGGAAGTCGCGTGGCGACGGTACTCGCCCAAGTTGAACACTGCAAAAAATGTCATCATTGAATATCATGCTTGCTACAGTCATTGTTTAACAATAATTTAGATTTAGTGCATTTGCTTTCCGATCCATCTAAGGCATTTGACACTACATATAAAAAAATATTGATCAAAAAATTATGTCCTAAGAGTTTTGGCACAAAATATTTATCGGATTTTTTTACGAAGAAATTTATTTAAACACTAACTAGTTATCATAAATTACAACACAATACTTAACTAAACTATACTATCGAATTATGTGGAGTGCTCTACCAGACGCTTGGAAGATGTGTATCCTGTTGAACAGGGTGGCAACTATTCTATAGCATTTACTAGATTGTTCAACTATTTTATTTACTGCCAATGAAGCTGTATTCTCAAAATTATAAGTCCCAGAAAATAAAGCTATGAGAATAATATTGAATAAAAATAAGTACAGGAAAATAAAATCTATGCTACAAGAATTGCAGTGGTTGAATATAAGAAATTTCATATCATATTAATTGATTCTTATTTTTATATTTAAAATAAAAGATTATATTTTGCCACAACATTTAGAAGACGACATAGAATTGAATAATCATTATCACAATTATTATACAAATATAGATTTCCATTTACAAAATTTCAATAGTAATATATCTGGCAAATCAATATTTCAGAAATGATTACTTGAGTTTAATAAACTAAATAATGATATAAAGTCTACTTGTAATTTAAATGTTTAAATGAATATCAAAGGGATATTTCATGGACCGTAATTGAATTATGTTTTTAAAAGAATGTAACTGTAGCAATCATGCTAAATAAATCTTAGAAAAAATCGTAAACAAAAGTGATTTGCCCAGTCCATATTTCTGAGGAGCATATAACTATGGTTGCAGATGACACCGTAATTACTATATCTGCAAAAATGTGAATCACTTTCATACCAAAATTCAACATATTCCTAAATACAAGTAAGATTATTGTAATAAATTTTAACAACCATCGCATAATTAATATAGAAATGGAAATACATGACCTTACTTTATCTTACTCTTGTAATTGCTCGGCACATGTTTTAATCGCAGACTAAGTTTTCAGGAACATATTGACTATGTTTGTAAAAATTTAAGTAAAGCATATTTTGCTATATTGCAGATAAATGATTTTCTAAACGAAAAAGCCCTAGTGAATATATATTATGCACTGGCCTATACCCAACATTATGGTATGGGAGAAATCATGTAAAAATGAGAGAGTATTTGTGGCCCAAAAAAATCATCAGATTATTTTTGGGAATGAAGAGACTTGAATTCTTAATGTGCATTGCACTTACATTTTGAGACTTGTATCCTATGTTAAAAGGTATAATAGCTTTCTAAATATCAACGTTTATCACAACACAAGAAATCTAAATATGAAAACCGTTCAGAAACATACTACCACCTTTTTCAAAAAGGTCCCCATATGCGTCAAATTATTCACCTAATTGTCGGTTAAAATTCAACGAATTAGTAATTATATTTCATTTCGAAAAGAAGTTAAAAAGCTCTTGTTAAAAAATTAATTATACAATGTAGCTGAGTATTTAGGATGTACGAACTTGCACTTAGTTACATAATGATGGTATCAATCGTTATTCATTCATTGATATGTATTGTTACATTTTTATACTAAGTGACATATAAATCCGAACACCCAGTTTAAATGGTTTTATTTTAATAAAATTTTGTATAAGTACTTAATGAAGCATAATAAGTAAATGATAAAAATTTCAAAATGATTGCACTGCTTTAAAGCCCTTTGACCTTTAATAATGTGTGGATGCACCCTGATGTGCTACGCATTCTCCAACGCGCCTAGGCATGCTTCTGATCAGGTGTCCTCCTGTGGTATCTCATTCCAGGCAATTCCAGGCAACCACCAACTCCTCTCGAAGTGCTTCTAGAGTCTGAGGAGGACGTTGCAAATTGAGCAATCTCCTACCCATCATATCCCACACGTGCTCAATTGGGGATAAGTCGGGAGATCTTGGTGGCCATGGTAACAATGTGACATCATTATGTTGAAAGAAGTCTATTGTGACTCTTGCAACATGTGGTCGGGCATTATCTTGTTGGAAAGTTGGATCTGCCAGGGTGTCAAGATAGGGTAAAAGATGGGGTTCTAGAACTTCGTGGATATAACGCTGCGCGTTCATGTTACCTCTGATGAAGATTAAAGGTGACCTGGAACCATAAGCTATAGCACCCCAAACCATAACTCCAACGAATGAGAAGTTTTGGCTTGATTTCATACCGGCCACACTGGGTCCTCCCTTCAACTCGAGAACACCGACGTAATCGCCTTGAGGGGTGCAGACAACGGTCACTCTGGGATCAGGAATGGAACAGTATTGTCTTTAGTGGCGAGTCTCGATTTTGTTTAGGCATGCACGATGGTCGTGCCAGGGTTAGAAGGCGACGTGGTGAAAGGAGGAATCCACAGTTTTTTGTCGAAAGACATATTTAGCACACTGTTGGAGTTATGGTTTGGGGTGCTATAGCTTATGGTACCAGGTCACCTTTAATCTTCATCAGAGGTAACATGAACGCGCAGCGTTATATCCACGAAGTTCTAGAACCCCATCTTTTACCCTATCTTGACACACTGGCAGATCCAACTTTCCAACAAGATAATGCTCGACCACATGTTACAAGAGTCACAATAGACTTCTTTCAACATAATGATGTCACATTGTTACCATGGCCACCAAGATCTCCCGACTTATCCCCAATTGAGCACTTGTGGGATATGATGGGTAGGAGATTGCTCAATTTGCAACGTCCTCCTCAGACTCTAGAAGCACTTCGAGAGGAGTTGGTGGTTGCCTGGAATGAGATACCACAGGAGGACATTGACCACCTGATCAGAAGCATGCCTAGGCGCGTTGGAGAATGCGTAGCACATCAGAGTGCATCCACACATTATTAAAGGTCAAAGGGCTTTAAAGCAGTGCAATCATTTTGAAATTTTTATCATTTACTTATTATGCTTCACTAAGTACTTATACAAAATTTTATTAAAATAAAACCATTTAAACTGGGTGTTCGGATTTATATGTCACTTAGTATATTAATCTTTATTGTTTTGTATTGCATTTTTTATCACATATACCAATTTGTATCAAGTGCATATGAATAAAGATGCTCGCCTGTATCTGCACCTGGCTGCACACATTTACTGGACTATATAGTTTGAATGCAATTCCAATATTCACGGAATTGAATACTCAATAAATACTGTGTATCCTATATACGATTTTTCGCAACAGCGAATTTGTTTAGTAAATAACAACTTGAGAGAAAGAAAAAATGGGCACCGGCGGGATTCGAACTCACATCCCCTCCATTCCGTGGAGCCGACCTAACCAATTAGTCACAGCATCAGCTGCCCACTAACTTTCCTTGTTCTTTCAAGCTGCTTGATGCTCCACCTGGCGGCGTTTAAGTGAAACAACCCGAGTTGGTAAGTTATCTTGAATCGTTTTCTAGTTGAACCAATGTTTCCTTTCTCTCAAGATTTTCTTTACTGAACATACTGGCTGAGACTCTGGTTCTATCGTTAATAAATTATTCAATTGCTGTTTACTTTCCTTGTCTTGATTACGTGACTAGATATCGAGTACAAAAAATTCAAAATAGCTGCTGTAGGTTCGTTTGTGGTCTGCGAAAGTTTAGCCATGTTTCTAAGAAGATCAATGAGCTTAGATGGTTGAGGGTTGACGAGCTTTTCACATATAACTTACTAGTTTTAGTACAACGAATAAAAATCAATAGGCTACCTACTTATCTACTAAAAAGGCTGGTACCACGTGGGGATCTCAATTACAGGAATCTGAGACATAACTCTGACTTCCATATACCTAGTTATAGGAGCAACATTTTCCATCGTAGCTTCACCTACAACGCTGTCAAGGTGTATAATAGTCTTAATGACAATTACAAAAAGATGGGAATACTTGCATTCAAGAGAGCCATTAAGAACCACCTTCTGGGGTCTGCTAGCCAAGCTGGCTGATATAATATATATATATATATATATATTTTGTTTGTCTTTATTGTTTTTTTTTTTGTTAGAGCGGGCTATGTGGGATAGATGTACAACATATTAAGATTAATCTATTTAAGCTTAATTATTGTATATATTATTTAGTCGATTGCTATTCATTGTTATGTTTTTCCTTTTGTATGTGTTCCTGCGCTGTGAGGTAAAGTGGTAGAGTAGCCAGCTGGCTAAACTTCGCCTCGCAGTGTGGAGGGATTAATAAAGACATTATTATTATTATTATTATACTAGCTGTTGAGGATGCGCGCATCCAAAAAATCGTATAAAGGTTACTGTCCTCGCACGGTGGTACCGTGGTAAGTGCCAACGAGGCGGCGTGGTGCAACTAGATAGCTTAGCAATCTGGTTCGCTTCACTTGGACGCCGCCAGATGGGGCATCCAGCAGCTTGAAAGAACAAAGGAACAGTAGCGTGTGTAGGATTGAATTTGCCTCTTAACAGTCGATCCTGAAAGCTGCTTGGCAGCTGATGATGTAGACTAATTGGCAAGTTTTTGTTTACTAAAGACTGTGTATATTCAATATTACAGGGAATGCTAGATTCATCTGATCATGACTTACCTCGCGTATTGATTCCAATCCAGTTGAGGTACCTAGACAGCTTTTTGGAGATGTACGTTTTACCCCTTGCGGGCAGACCAACCATGGCGATGACATGAGGACTGTTAACGTAGTTTGCTCTTTCCCCTGGAACAAAATAAAGTTATGTTTATTTATATCCATGTCAATAAAATATTCTTAGTTCAAGGCTTCAAAATGATAACGAACGAATTGAGTATACTAGGTGACATATATACATGTCTCTTAGGGTAATATAGGTCATTGATCAAAATTTCAAGCAAGTAATTGACAGGGTCTCCTCTTCTGATCCACAGCTATGCTGATGACATCGCTCTGCATGCAGGAATTCAGAGCGGCAAGCCGGTGAGCTGGAGAAAAGAAGACTAGCTGTGATTTTTCTCTCTGACGAGAGACCTGGAGGTTATCACTGCTTTGGGACGCATAGTTTAATTGAAAACATTTTTAGCTTAAGTAATAGGATAAAAAAGCAATAAAATTATACGATAGAAAGAGAAGGCTGAAAATTACAGTATGTTGCTGTTACGTCCAAGGTCTAAGCATCTAAAGTACTGAAACATTGCGAGAATTAATAATATGAATAATCAAAAGTACTCAAATCAACATTTCTGAAATAGCATGCTTTGCCAAAGATAAAGATTGGAAAGAAAGCGAATCTAATATCTGACACGCATATGATAATAAACTTAAAAATCAATCAAATGACGTACTCGAATTCGTAATACTGTTATCTGATATGAACATTCTTTAAAACAAATTCTGTTTTCAAAATAAAAGTTTCAACTTACGGCTACACGAAAGAACGTACGTGCATAGCATATTTGTTTGTATATAAAAGATTTGTATCTTTTATTTCTACTTCTACTGTCACCAGTACAACAAAACAATATCGTTAGTTCACGTGTTAAGTAATGTTGATAACCTTAATGCAACGTTGCCAAACGCATATTTATTGTAAATTTTGTTGATTCCGGTTATGTGACATCGAATAAACAAGTATTTTAGAAACGAGGAACGATTTCTCAGACTGAACTGACAACCACAAATGTCCAAACGTCATCGTACCGATGCATCGTAAACATTGGGTTATTTCCTTATATAAAAATTAAAGCCAATTTCGGATTCATTTGGCAGAAAATACAAAGAATTGAAATGAGGTTTCTTGCAATACGCGAATTTTAACCATATTTTTTTTCAAAAACGTGAGCGAAAAAGGTGAGCATTAAAAATTTGTCCGGTGGAAGTTCCACAAATCATATTATCTAGATGCCTGACATCTGTCTTTCTATTTGCGTTTTATTTATATAGAAAACTACTAAGTTTACTTTTTTCAAACATTCAAACAAACACTGCGCGAGATGCTTTTTTAAGTAATAAATACGTTTTGACGCATCTAACGGGTGATTTTTTAATTTAATTTAATAATTTAATTTCAAAAAAAAAACACAAAAAATTTGAAAAAACGATTAAATCTTTATTTGAGTCGATAGATCGGTCGATATTATTTAATGTTTAAAGATTATTTCATGTAAATGTTGGCCGCGGCTCCGCGTTAGATGGCCCATGCGCAAGGTCCAATTTTGGCACAGTCTCTCCAACATATCGGCCGGTATCTCACGAATAAATGCTTCAATATTGGCTTCCAGTGCGTCAATCGTTGCTGGTTTATCCCTGTAGACATTAGCCTTAACATGGCCCCACAAGAAATAGTCCAACGGCGTTAAATCACACGATCTAGGCGGCCAATTGACGGGCCCCAAACGTGAGATAAACTGTTCACCGAACTCGCCTATCAATAGGGCCATTGTTTCCTGTGCGGTGTGGCATGTGGCACCGTCTTGTTGAAACCACATGTCAGCCAAGTCCAGCTCTTCCATTTTGGGCAAAAAAAGTTTGTTATCATCGCACGGTAGCGCTTGCCATTCACAGTTACGTTCCGGCCATTGTCGTCTTTGAAGAAGAACGGCCCGATGATGCCACCGGCCCATAATCCACACCAAACAGTGATTTTTTCGGGATGCATTGGTAGCTCTTGCAATGCTTCTGGCTGGTTTTCACTCCAGATGCGGCAATTTTGCTTGTTAACGTTCCAATTCAACCAGAAATGACCCTCGTCGCTGAACACAATTTTTCGATAAAAATGTGGATCTTCCTCCAACTTTGCCAGCGCCCATTCACCAAATTGGAAACGTTGTGGGAGATCGTGTGACTTCAATTCTTGAACCAGCTGTATCTTATAAGGTTTTACACCCAAATCCTGTCGCAAAATTTTCCACGTAGTGGAGTAACAGAGGCCCAATTGCTGCGAACGGCGGCGAATCGACATTTCAGGGGCATCACTAACACTGGCGGATACAGCCGCAATATTTTCTTCAGTCCTCACTCTACGTCTGCGTGTTGGTGGTTTAATGTCCAATAATGTAAACTGGGTTCGAAATTTAGTCACAAACTTCCGAATGGCTCTCTCAGTAGGCCGACCAAATTGCCCATAAATTGGAAGCAGTGCTCGATGCACTGTCTTAACCGAGCATGATTTTTGATAGTAAAATTCAATAATTTGCAAGCGTTGTTCGTTCGTAAGTCGATTCATGGTTAAATTATAGACCAAACTGAACAAGTTTGACAATGACACAAGACACGATTCACGCGTCATCTGTCAAAAACAGTGTTGCCAAAAAGATACTAGCAAAAAATCACCCATTAGTACCTCCAGAAATACACGAAACGAATTTTCCCAAAATCATTTTATAATTTGAGATATGATTTCAAAGTAAACTTCATATTGACATTTTCACTTTTGATCTCTGCAAGGTGGCATAAATGGAACATTAATAGTTTTTCATTCTGATTTCAAATATTATAACATGATGTACATTTTTATAAAAAAAATGCATGAGTAGCACTTGAAATTATCATATAATCATTTATTTCATAGAACGTCAAAGATGATAACATGTTACGCATTGAAATAAAACTTCAAGTGCCTAACTTCATATATGTAGTTGGTTTAAGCTAATCGAATGAGGAACAACATAATGTAACTCATTTATATTATTTAAGGGTTAATAATGAAATCGAAAACGGTATAATTTAAAAAACTGAGAGCTGATACGTCAGATCGAAATTCTAATCATACCACCATGTAGAAAGAAAAGTGGCGATGTTATTGAGTAATTTGTTTGAAATTTGTTGACAATGTGGATGTGAAAAGTTTTGTTTCGGACTAAAGCCAGGAAACAATGAAAACGACTTCGGAAATACTTTTTCCCAAATATCCAAATTCTATTTTTTCATTTGAGATGTGATATATATTGACCGTGTAGCCTGGACGTCAATAAATATTACACAGATGAACAAAATTAAAATAATTTTTTGTGACATGGACAAAACAAGGTGGTTATTATGTAAATCGTACCCAAAAAGCCGGAAATAGCATTCGATTTTTTTCTATCACCCATGATTTTCTGGCAATAAGGCATTTTATTTGCTCCTTATACTCGTGAAATATAAGGATATGATGTGTGTAAGAGCACTAATAAACACTCGGATAAACATTAATTTCAGAATGTTGTTGTCGACGTTTTACGGCGATATGTTGCTCCTGAAGTATCTCTTAACAATGTGCAGCAATAATCAGAAAGCAAATTGACACTTCATTTGCCTTGATACCGTTTTTCCATAGCAGAAATGTCTTGGTGGAACCGTTCACCATGTTCATCAGTTACTTCACCAAAATTTTTTGGAAAAAAATCGAGATGAGAATCCATAAAGTTAATTTTTAGAGACATGTTACATCCCATTCTTTTATAAGCATTAATTAGCTCACTCACAATATCTTTGTAATTTTCCGCCTTCACATTGCCTAAAAAATTTTTTTTTTGTTCTGTTATTGGCACTGGTCGATGAGAAACTGGCCAGATCCTTATGTTCAGTATAATGCTATGCTTTAATAGAAAATAGAACATCCATTACTTAATATTACTATTGTATAGTGGATACCAAATAAAACCCGATGCACGTCATCGATCTGGAGCTGTGCGCTGTTGCCAGAATTGATATGAGCTCTTTACACCGACTGTTAAGTTGTTTTGGCATTTTGGATACTTTATACCACTTCACAGTAACTTTTGTTCTGAAAAGAACAACTTTTAATTGGCAAGGCAACGATTCAAAGCTCAAATAGCGCAAAACTCACAAACTAAACAATAAAGAACTAATAGTACGACAAATGGACAATGGCAACTGATATCAACAAATGAGAAGTGGCAACCTCACATTTCTCTGCACGGCACTACCAACCGAATCGAGACGGGGAAATTTAAACTTCAAGTAGAAATGTCACATTGAATGTAGTCAACTGTTGGTAACCATGATTTTTATGAATGACATCACCTATGACGTGCATCGGATTTTATTTGGTATCCACTATATATTATTTCTATTATAGTTACATAGAGTGTGTGAACACATATTTCTCTTTTTTTTTATTCCTTTTCTCTATTTTGTTTATAAGATTGTTTTTTATAATTTTTTTATTTATGCATATCTACATATATATATTACTTTATACTGATCTGCTTTTTTTTCAATATTTTCTTCTTTTTTTCATTTTTTCAAACAAACTTACTGTAATTTATATTTTATAATGTTAGGCCTACTTTCCGACAATGCTTGTATAAAAGTTCGTAAACTTGCTGCTTCTCAGAACTGAGAATTGATTCTAAACCTAAAAAAAAAAAAAAAAAAAATTGCACTAACTGATTTGAAAGCATTCCAAGCTCGTAATTCAGTTTCATTTAGAGCACTGTTAAATACATCAACCTTCATAATTTTCCGTATTTCTGGACCCACAAATATGTCCTCTTCAATTTTTTACCTCACTGTCTCGGAAATGTTTGTTTTAAATGCAGAAACCCTCTTCCACTTCGATCCATAGCTTTCACAAAATTTTTCATCAGTCCCAACTTAATATGCAAAGGTGGAAGCAACACGTTTTTGGGATCAACTAGTGGTTCATGTTTTCGCGTGTCAAAACATGAACCAGTTCGGTACTAAAAGTGAACCATCCAGAATTACACAAATGCGCATGTCCAGTTATTTTCTTATAG